AATTTTACCCCAAATATTTTCACCTGTTTTGAATATTATTATAATTTAAAAACATCAATTGGCATTGATATATGTAAGTATAAAGATTTTGTGTGTACACAAAAAGAAAAAAATAAATTTCTAATTTACTGATCTGTGTTTTCTAAGCTAGAATGACATATTGTGTCTCCATATTCTTAAACCTGCAAAGAAGACCTCTACAACAGGTCTTTGACTGAAAATTGCTTGACTAATCAGATTTAGATGTAACTTACCATTGCTTAGAGGGAAATATTTGGTTATCTTTAAATCACTTCAGAAGTTTTACTAGTAACTCCCAAACATTTTCATCTGCAAACCTTGCCCTTAAATGTTTTTAACTTCCTTGTATCCAAGGGCAAGCTTTGGAAATAAAAGAGAGATTAAAAAGACTAGGACTTTACAGTTTAGGAAACAGGAGACTAAGGGGAGATATGATAGAGGTGTATAAAATCATGACTGGTGTGGAAAAAGTGAGTAAGGAAAAGTTATTTACTTATTCCCATGATATAAGAACTAGGGGTCACCAAATTAAATTAATAGGCAGCAGGTTTAAAATAAACAAAAATAAGTTTTTTTTCTACTCAGTGCACAGTCAACCTGTGGAACTCCTTGTCAGAGGATGTGGTGAAGGCTAGGACTTTAACAGGGTTCAAAAAAGAGCTAGATAGATTCATGGAGGTTAGGTCCATCACTGGCTATTAGCCGGGATGAGTAGAAATGGTGTCCCTATCCTGTTTGTACATGGGTAACAGGGGAGGGATCACGTGATGATTACATTCCGTTCCCTCCCTCTGGGGCATCTGACTGTTGGCAGACAGGATACTGGGCTAGGTGGACCTTTGGTCTGACCCAGTACAGCCGTTCTTATGTTCTTATGAAAATGTTAAGGCCTTTGAAGTCCTGCTTTGAGGGTGACCTTTGTTGCATAAGAAAGCCTCCGCCTGAGCTCACTAGATTTATATACATGGATTCTCTAAAGCTACACCAAACTGTAAGATCTAAAGTTTTAAACTGCAATTTATTATGATCCTTGTCAATCTTTGTAATCTGTGTAACTCTCAAAGGGTATGTCTACACTACCCCCCTAGTTCGAACTAGGGGGGGTAATGTAATCATACGGAGTTGCAAATGAAGCCCGGGATTTGAATTTCCCGGGCTTCATTTGCATAAAGCCGGCCGGCGCCATTTTTAAATGCCGGCTAGTTCGAACCCCGTGCCGCGCTTCCTAGCCTAATCCGAACTAGCTAGTCCATGCTGCGTGTAGTCGCGCGGCACGGGGTCCGAACTATGTAGGCATTCCCAAACTTACTGTAAACTGCAACTTGGTAATCTTTGTAACATGCAGCCACCTTGCTTGTAACTTTCCTTAAGCTGAATTCTCCCCTGAGTAAATGGAGAGAGAGTGAGCGTGAGTGTGTTTGAAGAAGGCTTGGAACAATGGACTACATGGCAATGAGTCATCAAAGTCTGGGCATGTTCTCTGCTGGATAAAGGGAAGTCTGGGCATGCTCCCTGATGACAAGGTGAATGATTCACAGGAGCCATTCAGCTACAATATAAGGAGAAGGAGCACATGTGAGACTCTCTTTTTCCTTCCACTGATCCTGAGACGCTCCCCTCCAGTGTCTTTCCTCCTGACCAGCTTCCCCAGCCATGATGAGCAGACAGACCCTCCAGAATCCACATGCCTTGGCTCCTTCTGCAACCCATATGTCTGTGTAAGTGTGTGATTGCCTGAGGGCAGGAATAAATGGGTGTAAATGAGTGAATGAATGGAGGGGTGCGTGTGTGCGAGAGAGAGAGAGAGAGAGATCGATCTATCTTCTTTGCTTAAACCTTTGGTGGCTGCTTTCTCCTCTTTAGTTTTACCTACTGGAAATAAACCCATACTAGTGTAACCCTGGGTGGTCTCCAGTGAGAATATTTTGGGGGTAACAACCTTTACATTCTGCTTTCACATTTTAGCTATTAAGTTCCTTATCTGTCAGTCTGAGCTAGTTGTAGATATCAGCTCTTACCCTGCATTTATTGATTCATTAGCTCAACAAAAACAATGAGTCTGGTGTCACCTCAGGGTGCATCTACACTGCATCCTTACCTTGAAATAAGCTATGCAATTTTCATAGCTTATTTCAAGGTAATTTCGAAATAAAGCACTGTTCTGAAACGTCCCTTAACCCTTGTGGAATGCGGGTTCCAGAGACACCGGAATAATGAGCCCATTATTTCAAAATCTATTTTGAAATCTGTATAGAAAAATCTATTTCAAAATAACGGGCTGCTTTAAAGATGTGGAATAGCTATTTCAGGATACTTCCGGTATCCCGAAATAGCGGCGCAGTGTAGACGTAGCCTTAAAGACTAACAATTCTATTATGTCATAAGCTTTCCTGAGCTGCAGCTCACTTCGGGTACGTCTAGACTACATGCCTCTGGCGACAGAGGCATGTAGATTAGGCTACCCGACAGAGTAAAATGAAGCGGCGATTTAAATAATCGCCGCTTCATTTACATTTACATGGCTGCCGCGTTGAGCCGACAAACAGCTGATCAGCTGTTTGTCGGCTCAACGCGGCAGCCATGTAAATGTAAATGAAGCGGCGATTATTTAAATCGCCGCTTCATTTTACTCTGTCGGGTAGCCTAATCTACATGCCTCTGTCGCCAGAGGCATGTAGTCTAGACGTACCCTTAGTCAGAATTTAAATGTGGGATGACCAGAAAATGAAGCTGAAGAGAACCTGATTCAGCAGCAAGATTGTTTTGAGTTGGGTGGAAGGTAAAAAGTAAACAGCACAAGAACATTCAAAAGTACATTTGAGGAATGAGGTTTACCGGGGCTGCCGACAAAGGGCTTTGATGTCGACAGGGGGAAGGTCCAGACTAGCGTGCGAGCCGACAAACAGCTGATCAGCTGTTTGTCGGCTCAACGCGGCAGCCATGTAAATGTAAATGAAGCGGCGATTATTTAAATCGCCGCTTCATTTTACTTTGTCGGGTAGCCTAATCTACATGCCTCTGTCGCCAGAGGCATGTAGTCTAGACGTACCCTTCATCAGATAAATTAAGTGAAATACTAAGGAAACAGATGGTAGAGATACAGATATGGGAATGTTCCATCAGAATTAATCATAGAATCATAAAATATTAGAACTGGAAGGGACCTTGAGAGATCATCAAGTCCAGTCCCCTGCCCTCATGGCAGGACCAATCACAGTCTATATCATCCCTGATAGATGTCTGTCTAACCTGCTCTTGAATATCTCCAGTGATGGAGATTCCACAACCTCCCTAGGCAATTTATTCCAGTGTTTAACCATGCTGACAGTTAGGAAATTTTTCCTAATGTCCAACCTAAACTTTCCTTGCTAATTAATTCAATAAGGGGTACGTGGATAAGAAGGTGAGAATACCTAAAGTGGATAATTACTTATGGTAATGACTGTGTTATTCCCCGTCCCTATTCTGACCCATTTTTTGGTATCAAGTTTGCATATGAATTCCAGCTCAGCAGTTTCACATTACAGCCTGTTTTTGAAGATTATTTGTTTGAAGATGGCAACTTTCAGGTCTTAACTGTGTACCCAGACAAGTTAAACTGTTCTCCCACTTGTTTTTGTATGTTACCATTCTTGATGTCTGATTTGTGTCCATTCATTCTGTTGTGTAGAGACAGTGCAGCTTGTCTAATGTTCATGGCAGAGGGCACACGATCCCATTAGCACAGGGTGAGTCGGCAACCTTTTCAAACCAGAGCCAAACTACATCAAAATTCAGAACCAATGGTCAACAAAGAGCCGTATAAGAGTGCCCATTTGCATGACTGAAAATATACAACTTAATATTATTGATAATTGACATAATGATTAATAATAGCATAAATGAAACATTGTACTCACAGATTTAACGGGACTTTTGCTGTTGCAGCTTTTCACGTTTCTTTGAAGTTTACATCATAACTGGTCAAATCCAGCTTCATGTACGCATTCAGGCTGTCTTCTGTCAATCTTATGGCAAAGGGCTAAGGGCCAGGGGTTTGGGTGTATGCTGGACCCAGGGCACAAGGGTGGGGTGTGTGTGGGATGCAGGAGAGTTATGGTAGGGGGCTGCGGATGCGGGGGTGCAGGAATCGGGGTTGAGGTACATGAGGGGCTCGTGGCAGGGGGTTCAGGTGTAAGATGGGCTCAGGTTTGGGATGTGGGGTGGTGTAGGAGTGTTACGATGCTGCAGCCAGATGGGCACTGGGCCCCAATTGGGAACTTGTTGGCCAGGCTTCATTTTTAAATAAAGTAAAATATTATGTCCAACACAAAAGCTTTCAACATTGTGTTTATTTATGTCAGGAGTGGGGAACTTCTTTTGGGTCAGGGGCCACTGACCCACAGAAAAATCAATGGGGACCACACAAGCGAGAAACAAAACAAAACAAACCTCCAGAATACCCACCCCTCACTGATATGGCCCCCAACTGAAACACCTCACTCCTCTGGTGCTTCAGAACCCAGATATTCTTCTGGGGTTCCAGGGTTAGTGGATTTTGTGGGCCCCTGTAGGCTCTGGGTTGGAGCCAAAAATGGAGGGTTAAGTGTGCAGGACAGGGCTGCCAGTGAGTGGGATAGGGATAGGGGTGCAGGATCTGAATGGGAAGTGGGGTATAGGAGGGGGTGAGGTTGGGAAGTCTAGGTGGGAGATAGGGTACAGGAGCAGGCTGGGGGCAGGGTGTCTGGCTGGGGGAGGGGTCTTGGCAGGGGGGGAGTAAAGGGGCTGGGAGTGCAGGGTCTGAGTGGGGCATGAGTGAGGGGGTTGGGGGTGTAGGATCTGGGCATGAGGAGGTGGGGAGCACTTACTTGCTTTCATGCTGCATCGCAGGCACCATGTAACACTGCCTCCCACTGTTCCCATTTGCTGGATTCTGGCCAATGGGGACAAAGGGGTAAGCCTCCAGGAAG